AGGAGAACAGAAAAGCAAGAACAAGGAGAACAGAAAAGCAAGAACAACAAAAAGAAAGAGAACAACGACGACAACAAGAACAACAAAAGCAAGAACAAGAAGAAAAACGAGACCATGAAGAACAAACGAGTAGAAGAACAAGAACATGGAACAAAAACAAGTACAAGAAGAACAAGAACAACAACAACAACAAGAAAAAGAGCAACAAGAACGGCAAGAACAAGAACAAGAAATGACGACAACAAGAACAAGGAAAACAACTAAGACAACAACAAGAATAACAAGAAGAAAAAAACAAGAATAAGAACAAAAAAGCAAGAACAAGAAAAACAGAACTAAAACCAGAATTATAAGAACATGAACAAAAACAAAATCAACAAGACCAAGAACAAAGAACACCGAGAACAAGAACAACAAGAAAAACAAGAAAAACGAGAACAACGAGAACGACGGCAACAGCAAGAACAACATCAACAACAGCAAGGAGAACAAGGACAACAAGAACAAGAACATGGAAAAAACAAGAACTAGAAGAACATGGAACAAAAACAAGACAACAAGCACAATAATTAAAAACAAGAATAAAATAAGAACAACAATTAAAAACAAGAACAACAAGAATAAAAACAAGAACAAAAACAAGAATAAATAGAAGAACAGGAAGAACATGGAACAAGAAGAACAAGAACATGAACAAGAACAACAAGAACAATGAGAACAAGAACAACAAAAAGAACAACAATTTTTATTTATTTATTTATTTATTTATTTTATTCATTTTATAAATACATAATCAACATAATCAACATAATCAACATATATGTAACAACAACAAAATATTAAATATAAAATGAAAGGTAGCAGATGAAGAAAAAAATCTTATTAAATCTGCTCCTTATTTATCTAATAAGCAATTCAAACAAACGTTTCCTGTAAACAGCGAATACAAGTAAGTAAATCAAAATATTTTACAATTCTCATACAATACTCATCAAAATACAATCATTGATATTCATTTAACAATTTGATTTTAATCAATTTCTTAAATACATAAATTGATATAGCATCCTTAACCTCTTTTACTAAGTCATTCCATAAACCAACTCCCTGAATTACGGTAGATCTTCCCTTCAAACTTGTTCTAAACTGTGGTTTAACAAATACGTCTTTCCCTTTTAGATCGTAACAGCTAGATCTTTTCACAAAGTACATTTGGATATTAAAAGGTAGTATATTTTTATGAGCTCTATACATAAGTGATACAATAACAATGACAACAGCAAGAACGACCAAAAGAACGAGGGCAACAACAAGGACAACAACAAGAATTACAATAACAAGAAAAACAAGAACAACAAGAATAAGAACAAGATAAAGAATAAGAACAACAAAACAATAAAAACAAGAATAACAACAAGAACAGCAAAAAAATAACTAGAAGAACGAGAACAATGAGAACGAGAAAAAGAAAAGAGTCTGGGCAGTCTGTACCGGCGGACATGGGTTACTGGCCTGGTGACCTGGCTGTCCCTGGGTGGGTTTGGGGTGGTATCGCTCCTGGGCGGGGTTCCCGGCTTGGTCCGGGGGTCTCGGGCCTTGGCGGGTATGTTGCCGGGGTCTTGGGCTGGCGGGTGCACCGGCGCCCGGCCCTGGCCTTGGGGCCTTCGGTGCGTTGGTGGGCTTTGGGGCCTGTGC